TAATTTATAACATGTTTATTTCATTTTTAAGTAATATATGGCAATAAAATTGTTTTGATGTTCTTTGTATATCAGTTCGTTTTATTATTTATATATTTATTTATCATATTTATTTAAAATATACGTCCTATAACAATAATTGAAAATCTATAAGAGAGATTGCAGTAATCAGGATTTACGAGCAATCATATGTACCTATTTACCTTTCAAACCGCGCGCGTAATATCAGATTATGCGGCGTTGCCATATTTTCAAATAGCGTCTCACAAATGCACGTTCTTCACGCTTTACTATTTAATTACTTTTCTCACAAGTACCCTTGGAAGGTTTTGAAAGCGAATATATAATTGTCATTTAATTATCTTTCTACTGTCCAAAGGGCATCAGAACCTATCCTATATTAGCAACGATATGAATGATAATATACAGACAGCTCCGCGGTTTCCCATAAGACGCCATGTTGAATTGGCATGTAAACAAAAACTCAAGGCATGCAAATAATTATGAATATCTCCCTTTATAGGTACCCTCGGGTCACAAAAATTTAGATTTCTTATTTTTATGCATTAATCTACCATCCTGCAAAATATCATAATTTTCTATCCTATATTTCAATTTGCTGTACAACTACCTTAACGACAATCAAAAGGAGCTTTTTTTGATATTTCAGTTGGTTTACCTACTACGACGAAGCATATGGTAACTATCCTATAGCACCAACCCACATGGTAATGACAGTTTCTTCTTTGGTACACTTCCCCCAACGCTAACGCCACATCACTGTAAATCCAAGTGTGTTATTTTAATGCACTTGGAGCATGTAAACAGCCGTCACAGAATTCATGCGTTTCTAGGCGTATTATTTTCACACGCCTCAAGTGTGTTATTTTTACACACTTCAAGTTTGTTACTACAACACGCTTCCAGCGTGTCTCATTACATGCTTAAGACGTGTTGTTTCGGTACACATTTAAAATGTGTATAAAATGTGTATAGTGAACGAAGCACGTTTGTTGAATAAAAAAATTATTAAAAAAAAAGGACGACGTTTAAAGACAATGATTTATTTAAAAATATCCATTTCTATTACATATCTTGGTAATCATGTTTTTTAAGAGTTACTCAATTGGAAGAATCTTCATAAATCTACGTGGTAACTGTCAGGAAAAAAATTAATATTTATAATGTTAATTCTATTTCATGTATACAAATGATGTATTAAAACTTATTTATAAGAAATGAAGACTTACAAATGAACACCATCTAACGAAAAGCTAAGTTGGTAAATGCTAAAGTTTAGACGGATATTGAGTGCATGATGTATGAGTTGGTCGAAAATATCTTCATAAAAAAAAAAAAAAAAAAAAGAAAAAAATCTTGCCACAGTGTGCCCCGGAGAAAGGGATTCTGGGTTTCTTCCTTTCTTCCTTCCCCCCTACATTATGCGCAGTAAGATCTTCGTCACATCCAGTGCTTCATCATTCGCAGGGAGCTTCTGCATGTTTTTTTTCATACATATACACACAGAGAGATAGAAACTACACCTCTGATGCCCGTTCCGGAGTCAAGGCGTGCCACGACACCAGCGTGCGTGCCCCTTATTCCCATCCCTCTCTCAAGGGAAGACCCAGACCGTGCGTGACGGCGTATGCAGAGTAGCACAGTAGCATGCGAGAAACTTCAAACCACGTTAATTATGAATGGTCGAGAAAAATTAGCCATTTCTGAAACCACAATCATTCTGGAGAGTCTATGTATGATACAGTGAGCAATTGAAAACGCTGATGGTGCATTGTACTTTGCATTGAGCATCGGATAACCATCGCGGCCAAGCTAAAAGCTCGCCTATACGCGCGTATGCTCGCGTCCCACCCCCCGTTCCCTCGTTCGCGGGCATACCTGAAAAGCCCAGCTCGTTACTCAGAAGCAACGGAGGAGACAGTGTCGCCGTAACAGTGGGGCGGCTATACAGATATCGCGCAGAGCCCTGGTACACACGCGCGGGATGATACGGTGCCAGACGGAGGGGGTAGGCATATATATACTTGCTTTAAAACACAACGCACGGGAGCCGAACGCGAGGGACCACCCGTCGCGAGTCCCGTGCACCTGAATTAATTATTTGTTTTAATATATAATCCGCGTCCCGTGATTTAGTTGGCCCCAAGCTGGCGCTTCCCCCCTTTTTTCCCTCTCCCGTGTGCATTTTTGTGTACACGAGCACGCGTGAGACTGTACGCCGTTGGTCCCTCGCGCGACCGAGCAACTTTGGCGTCGCCGTTGTTTGAGGTGTTGCAGCGCTGCAAAGGTTGCACGAGAGGAGACAAGTATACACCAACAAGTTATGCCCAGAGTGTGATAATGTCCCTCTCTCCTTTTCCAAGTCTTTTTTTTCTTTCTCGCGGGGCTGCGCTGCGTTTTTCATCCTCTTTTGCGAGCTCGTTTGCGCCCCGAGACTGCAAATTGACTAATGAGACGGGCCAAGCCCTCTTTGATCTGACCTGCGGGCGTGTGTTTGTGCAGGGCTTGAGGGGAGTGCGACGCGCCAAAACACTTGGTATATTTCATTCGCAAAGTTATACGCGACGGCTCGGGAGCTGCTGTTTCAACTCCCGCGGGAAGCTGAAACCGAAGCGCCGCTCCCGTTGTGCGGGCAACCGGAGTATTTATGAACTTCGGGACAGTGGGACCCTTTTTTCTTCGCAATAAACTCTTTCTCGTGGATTCTTTTTTTTTCAACTCTTTATTTTTCTTTCGTTGTGTCCCTTTGATACGGACACACGATCTCTCGAGTACCTTGTAAATTTTCTGCCTCGTCTGAAGTTCAGAGATGACTTTTTGTGCTCAAAAAGAAGAAGAAGAAGAAAAAACCGAGTAAAGGAGCTTTCAAATGCGAGGAAACGCGTGTATGGAAAAAATGAGGGATGTTTGTTTGTATATACCTTTGACTTTGCGATTTCTTCTTCCCACTTTGAATTTTTCTTAAAGATGCTTACGCGCGACAATTATATACAGCTCGTGTCTTTGGTTAGGCGTTTCCATACATCGAGTGTAAGAGGCATAATGAAGCTTGAATGCGAACAAATCAGGGCTTTTTGCGTTACGTTGGTGGTTGTGCACCCCTGAATGAGGAAGTACAATTTATCCGTTCTTTCGTGCAATTCAATTATTCGCGAAAAGATGTTTTTTTTTATTACATAATTATACTTTCCAGCATAGTTTGGGATTATATGTGTATATGGCCATCATTTAAAATGTCGCATAAGAGCATCAAAGAGCTTAAGCTGCAAAAAGGTGTCGTTTTCTTTACTTGGTGCATATTTATTACGAAACTTTCGTGAGTTTGCCTTTTTTAATTTTAGACTATTAGTTAACGGCTGGTGCCCAAGACCCTTTTTGTGTCATTTCTTGGCTTGTCTGGAATATCGAGCTTTTATGAAAAGTACATGGTAATACATTCAAAAAGGACAAACTTCTATGTGATTGATAGTTGCAAAAAAAAAAAAAAAAAAAAAACACTTTGAGATCATTTTATGTTCGTAGAGCTCTCATACATTAATTCTACATGATTTCTAGCTGCGAGAGAGAATGTGAAGAATGTGTGGTGAGTTATGAGAGTCCAGGTTTCCATTAAATAGCCGAAAATACACAGTTGAGGCAGATTAGTCTAGTCCATGGTTTATTACGAAAAAAAAAAAAAAAAAGAATATCTTTAAATTCTCCTCTTCTTTCTGTCCTCAAAGACAAAAAATCAGCAGGAATACCTACCACATAGACACATTAGTCCATTTAAAAACTCATACGTGGGTATGTAAATACCTCAGCTGATGGCGATAAGATCGAAAACAGCGTAAAATTGTCAGGATGACAAAGTAAAGCTTAAAGTCAAAAGTCAGCCGTCCAAACCGCCATGCACGGTCTCGTTTTTTTTTTTTTTTTTTTTCCTCTTTCGCAAATCCCCGAGGCCTTG